TTTTATTTTCCATTCCAAATTGCAAGCTGAGATGCTTTTATTTTTAGGTGAAGGCTTATGGTCCAGGTTTGGAGAGGACTGGCTGTATAGTGAACAATCCTGCTGAGTTCATGGTTGAAACCAAGGATGCTGGGAAAGCTCCTCTGAAGATGTATGCACAGGTAAAAAGCCAAAGGCAGCTATGTGCAACTCCAGCAAAAGGGTTTTAATTCCATTGAGAAAAATGCCTTGAGTAGTTCAACTCCATTACACATCACTTAATTCTGGGCATGTATAATTCTGCTTCAGTCCTGTGCTTTGATCTGGTAATGCAGTCAGCTAGTGAACTTAAGTCAAGACAAGGTGACTTGTCTCTGGAGTATGAAATACAGAGTGTTACTTCCTTTCTCGGAGCCCCTTCAGTAGGGCAAGCTGTAATTTCCTGGCTTTGTCACTTGGAAATATCCAAAGTCTCTCTGAGCCTGTGAATCTCAGGCTAAGTTACCCCCTCTGTGTTGTGAGTTGGTGTTAGAAATGAGCAGTTTAGATGGCAAAGACTTAGAAGAGCTTAATTTGCACATTCCTCCAATATTGCTGAGTTGCAGTTAAAATTGAAACAGTCTTAGGCTGTTCAAATTATGCAAACATTGTAAAGTTACCTCTACCTTGTGGTTGTGTTTACTACTTTTTAGGATGGAGAAGGAAACCCTATTGATATCCAGATAAAGAGTAGGCCTGATGGAGTGTTTGCCTGTTCCTATGTGCCAGTTAAACCAATCAAACACACAATTTCTGTTGTGTGGGGAGGAGCTAATGTACCCAACAGCCCCTTCAGGGTAAGTACAGAGACAGGGATGTTAGTTCTTATATCCAATTACAATGTTTAGAACGGCTGCTACTTTGAGCATTAGATAATGCAATCAGGATGGCCGTAAACTTCAATAAAGTGCACCCTTTTTGTTGTCTTTTTAAGAACCTAGCTACTAGAAAAGTGGCTTTCTTCTCTAAAAGCTCCCTTGTTGGGGTTCTCGTGTCACTACACTAAAACCATGGCAGTTCGTTCTTACCTTAGCTACTTTGTGCTGTAGAAAACTTAAGTGTAGCCTATGTCCAGATAATGCTCCCGCTGGGCTGTGATTTACAGTATGACTCAGATATGTAGTTCTGACTCTTGTGAATCCCTGTAGGTCCTGATTGGTCAGGGTAGTCATCCTCAGAAAGTGAAAGTGGTTGGACCTGGCGTGGAGAGAACTGGCCTGAAAGCCAACGAGCCGACGCACTTCACTGTTGACTGCACGGATGCCGGGGAAGGTAGAAGCACGCTGGACTGTTGCCCTGCTTCTTGCATGGGGGGAATTATGTGATTTGCTG